GTCTATTTTCAGCTTTTCGCATGTGTTGAATACATTACTGTAATGTCACTTTAGATTTCAATAGTTTCACAGTTAAACAGTGTTTAAATTAAAGCAGGTTTGACAAGCCTTGATACAGTTCTGTGTACAGAATACTACAGATTGATTCTCGTAAGATCTGGTAGAGTTATCGTTGCACTGAACACGAGTTTGCACCGTTGACAACGGCGTTGTGCTAGACAGTAAACAAAGACAAGGTCCGTGACAGTACACGTTGGCTACATGTACCTCCTTGGTTTTTTCTTCTATTGCATAAAGCTTGTTGGCGAGCAAAGCGATTGGCGATAACACGTTGGCGATAATACATTGGCTATCTCCTCGTCTTTCTTATTTAAATAAGGAGCTCTGACTCAACTGATTTCTTTAGTCTCGCAAGTTATTTTCCTCGTAAACGCCGTGCAAACGTTTACCCGTTTAATAGTTGTTTATGCTTTATTGATCTGGTACAGATCTGATGCAATTTTTCGCTCTTTGTACTGAGTGTAGCCATCTATTCTGTGATGTAGCACCTTATACAGTGAATGACAATGTATAATAAATACACGGTCTAAATAATATCGATGGGCACGTAATTGAATGCCGGTAATACATAACATCAATTTATATATTGACTATTGTACTATTGCGTAGAATCTCAAAGATTTTCTCGATATTCATGTCTGAAATGTTTATATACTTGAAAACAACACTGTCTCGCTTCTGCCTACGTACTGTACCTCTGTATAATGAGTATACCGTGAAAATAATATTAGCACTCAATTGAATGCCTAGAATCTCAAAGATTTTCGACTCAATAATCAATATTTACGTCTGAAATGTTTATACACTTAACTGTACTGTCTAGGCGGTCTAGCTCCTTCCTAGCTCTGTATAATGAATATACCGTCTAAATATTATCGGCATTTAATTGAACGCCCGTAATGCATAAGATCAATTTATATATTGCGTAGATTTTCAAAGATTTACTCAATATTCACGTCTAAAATGTTTATACATCTGAAAACAACACTGTCACTCCTTCCCTCCTTCCTAGCATATCGTCACGCCATCGTGATCTACGGCTTGATAGCGCATGCGCATTTGCGCTATTAAAGAAAAAATCGGGTGTTCCGGGGTAAAGATCCTTTAAACAGCATGAGAAGCGAATGTTCTAAAAGTTACAAAATATTACAATAACGAAAGCGATTCCTCGAAATTTTTGTGAACTTGGCAAAAGGATAACAGAATATGTAAATAAGTTAACTGAAATTGCCTAAATAACCTTCAAAGTACTGACTAAGTACAATAAATCACTACGAACATAAATCGTATACACCCCCCGGAAAGTTTACTCTATGATTGACTGATTCGTGTGAATTCGCCAGCCATCACAATAGTGTGAAACTTCACACTAAAAATTAAGTTGTTGTTTACTAATATATTACTATTTATATGTTGTTTTACTATATATTACTATGTTGTTTACTATTAATAGTGTTGTAAAAAGGTGTTTAAAAAAGATCAATTCTGAAATTACACTGGAATACTTTCGCCTTACACTGAAATACTTTCGCCTGCTTCCAGTTTTAAATATGAAATTTCCTTAAAAATTCCTTGCCGGAGCCGGAATTTTGACTTGCACAGCACCAGCATAAACTGGCGTAAATACCATTGGAAATATCGATTATTTCGCAAAGTGTCTACCACTAGGTACAAGGCAGTGAGGAAACCAAATGAAATCATGGCGTGACAGGCTACGAATCTCGTAGCTCGCACTCCGCAACCAAAATAAAACGCGTTGTACTCCTACTAATAGCTCCATCTTAACCCTGCCCTGGGGTGGGCGAAGAATTACCTTAAATGCAACCCTTGTAGGTCAATAAAAAATGGATGACAAATTTCTGGTCGCTTCGCTGGCGGAAACGAAATATTGGGGTGCAGATTTAGGTTTTCATAACCTATACCGATCTTTTTGTTGTAAATTTCTGTCCTCAAACCTCATATTTCTGTTAAGTTGATTAACTAATAGGTTATCAGCTTCATGTTTAAAAAGTTCCTACCTTCGTTCCTATCTTCACCGCTTCCACTACCATATCCACTCCCATGATTTATCGGTGGGCGAGTTTTAATTCTGCGAATATCACTGATAGCTTTCCTCAAAAACAATAAAACGTCGTCTTCAATTGTTTTACTGTTGTCCGGTTGTAAAGCTGAACTGTTCTTGACAATAACGTTGTGATGGACTTTTCTGAAAATAGAAAAAAAAATAGTGTTTTGTAGTGCGGGCAACAGTGCATGATTCAAACCAATTTTCATACTCGGTTGATCTATTCTTTGCAAACATACTGTTCAATGCACACATCGGTTTAAAATGGAGCCTAATTCATTGTAATTGTTCGTTATTAAAGAAATCGTAAGGACCAGAAATATGCGTTCGATTGAGAGCAAGGTGTTCGTTGATTAAATTTCCACATTATTTGGCAATTCTCGACTCGCCGATTGTTCGTTAGAATTAGTCGTTTGTATTTAACGTATCAATACACGCTTCCAGAATGTACGCCGCCTTGGCTATACAGCCTCGTTTTTGTGATTGAGACGTGGGCTTTAACAGATGTCATATACACGAAAACGAGGCTCTATAGCCAAAGTGACGTACTTTCCGGAATAGTGTATTACAGTCATACCAAACTTCTTTTCGATACACATACAACGCAAGTTGTTGGGACACTTGCGGTTTTAGACCATCAAATTTTACAAATTATTACAAACATTTATACATCTCCCTCCCCCATTCAGTGTTGTTTACCCGATCAGACACCATAGTATGTAAGATGCTAACTGAAACCCAATATTAAAGGGGGAGGGGGGGGGGGAAGCAACGTTTATCAAAATATTAGGTAGTTGAAGAATCCATCCCAGCACACTCGCTGTTTATACGAGTTCGGGTCAACAGTTAGGATTAGAGTTAGGACACCATAAACAGCAATTAATTATTGACGTGACTCAAACAAGATGCTCGTTTAGCGCGAGCCAAGCACGAACGTACTGGTTTATTCATTTCAGCTTACCTTCCTAGACCTGTTCCAAGCCAACATTTAGATACATCATCAGGTGCTGTGGACAAATTATCAGTGAAACATAGATTAATATAGAACATCTTCATGTAATATTTTATATCAGACAAATTTCTTCGAAGAAACGTCAAGTCTTTGGTGATATCATTGGCTGTAGGAAGATCGTCATAGGAATTTTGTACGTCTGTAGTAAGATAGAGATCACCATTTCCAAGATCGCGTGGAGAGTCAGGTTGTTGCTTTCTAAGACTGATTATCGTATTTCCATTGTAGTCCGTGATATTACGACAGTGCGTTGAGACCTACAGCATAGGATTACAGTAATCTTTGTAACTATTACGGCGGACATGAACATGCATAGATAATACATGACCATCATGGTATTTTACGTGGTCACTTTTGTGGTCTCAAACGAGTCTTTACAGGCAAGGTAACGTACTTTCTCTAGCGTGTTTTAGTGAGTATTACTACTGTATAATGTCAGATCTCTTGATTGCCGTGGAGTCAACACTAGCATGAGATCGACTTTACTTCGACCTGATGTCATGCACTTCTCCACGAAAAGACCGTTTACCATATGTAGCAGATGCTGCAATCAGGTGGGGGGACACGTATAGGGTGGAAAGTTGGTGAATGATGCTAAAATTATCGAAATTGTTTCAGAAAAACATTTTGTTTTGTTTTAAAAAAATATTTTGACCGGCATGCAAAACATATTAATATTATTGGTTGGATGCATGTTCATGTTAGTTCCGTGTTGAAGTACTAAAGTGAAAAACAAGTACTAGAGTACTAGAATGAGCAGTTACAGCTTATAGGCTCTGACAATATATTAAGGTGGCTCAATACAGTTTTTTAAAAATTGGAAAATTCACGATTTACTGCTTGTTGATAAACAAAAAGTACTTTACTTATATCATGGATAATAAAATAAAATCCATGCTTATATAAAACAACATCTAAAGAGTTTGAATTTTTGTACAAAAGTTACGCAACTGCCGTTGCTAAGGCACCATGACGTTTCAAGATGGCGGATATTTTGGCTTTAATAATTAAAGTAATTTAACTCGTAAACGACATCGGTGACCCCCAAATTTTACTTTAAAAAATTATTTCTCTTAGTATAATGAATTATTTTGACAATTTAAAAAAAATTCTGTGGAGCCAAAAAAAAGTTATTATGAATAATCACCTTTACGTAATTTTAAAAATTTCGGCTCCACAGAACTTTTTTTTAAATTGTCAAAATAATTGATTATACTAAGAGAAATCATTTTTTAAAATAAAATTTGGGGGTAACCGATGTCGTTTACGAGTTAAATTACTTTAAAGCCAAAATATCCGCCATCTTGAAACGTCATTGTTGCCATAGCAACGGCAGTTGCGTAACTTTTGTGTAAAAATTCAAACTCTTTAGATGTTGTTTTATATAAGTAAGGTACTTTTTGTTTATCAATAAGTAATAATTGACCAAAAATACGCATCTAAATCGTGAATTTTCCATTTTATTGAAAACTGTATTGAGCCACTTTAACAAGCTTTCGTTGTTAAGTTAGTAAGTTACTCCAGACGAAGGGCCTTCGCTCGAAACGTCGAAATTCTCCTTATATTTTTCAGGTAGTTGCATCCCTACCAAGTACCAACGAAAGCTTGTTCATATTATTGGCACTAGCTACACTGGCACAGACAGTTCTGACCATATTTGTCTGTGGTTAGTTATCCACCTGACGAGAACATTTTGACTAAATCAAATTTTTGACTAAGTCATGATGAATAAAGTGTCAGGTCTTCCCATACGTTTATGAATTTTGGACACACTCAATCACATAAGCCTAGTTCACATATACCTGCGGTACATAAATGTCGGCAAGCTATTGTCGTTAGCAGTTCAATCAAACAATTCACAAAAAATGCCGGTATACATCAATAGCGGTAAACAATTGAATTGAATTGATTTAATGACTACTGACTTTGTAACCCAAAAAGGTTAAATTACACCAGTATTACATAAATTAAGAGGATAAGTTAAAATTACATAATAATTACATATTTAAGATTATTTACATTTCTAAAAACTTATTTACTGTTAATCTTTAATATACTTTGAGGTAAAAACGAATTCTTAAAACGTTCGGTTCTGCAAACATAATTATGATATTTACATATCGGTCTTAGATCATATCCAGATAAAACTGTTTGTGGTAAAAGATCTTTGAGATTTTCATTGTCAATATTCTTCTCAAAGAAATGTTCGCATAATTTTTCTCGTCGATCTCTCAGTGACGTGATGTTAGTCGTGATCAGCGCTTCGTCGTACTTTTGCGATGGGAGGATTATTCTCAACGCGCGTTTTTGTATTTTTTCAATATCGTCACATAAATATTGTTGGATATTGTAATGCCAGACCTGGCATGCGTACTCTAAAACAGGCCTAATAATGGTAGTATATACAGTAATTAACGTGTCAATACACGCGTTGGACCTTTTTAGCAGTCTTAGCATATAGAGCCTCTTGCTAGCTTTTTTAACTATGTTATTTATATGTTCATTCCACTTCATGTTATCTTGGACTGTGAGGCCAAGGATACGGGCAGATTTCTCTCGTTCAATATTAACTTTATCGACTGTTAAAGGGGGAAAGCAATGCTTCTTTTTTGCAAAATCAATAACCAGTTCTTTGCATTTTCCAATGTTTAATTTCATATTATTACTCGTAGTCCAATTATTGATGTAATTAACCAGTTCTTGAAGGTTGCTGTTACAATCTGGGCCAATGGTTTCGGTAGTGGTGGTGTCAACGTATTTCCATCGGTCTTTCCAATCAGCGAGGAGGTCGTTTATCATGATTAGGAAGAGGATTGGGCCTAAAACAGTTCCCTGGGGTACTCCACCGTTGAGGATTTGCCATTCTGACACACAATGGGGCATTCTGACCCGTTGGCTTCGTTGAGTAAGAAAACTTCTTATCCAGTTTGTTATTAATGATGGAACGTCCATATCAGATAATTTACTGAGGAGGATGTTATGATCGATATGGTCAAAAGCTTTGGAGAAGTCTAATAAAAAAATTCTCACAGCGTTTTTCGGCACATCAGTTTCGTTTAATAAGTGATGGAGAAGGCTCAATAATGCATGTGTTGTTGAAGAGTTTTTTAGAGATCCAAATTGCCGTTTATCGATCTTCTCACCAATCAACTCCATCAGCCAGTCTGCGACAAAACGTTCACACGTTTTTGACAAAGTGGCAGTAAGCGAGATGGGACGCAAGTCTTTAGTAATGTCCCTCAGCACCTTATTTTTAGGTACAGGGATGACGTCGGCTTTTTTCCATACCGCGGGAACAGACGCCTGTTGAAGGGAGGCGTTGAAGATTGAAGTAACAGGGGAAGACAGCAGGGGCGCATAATCTTTTAGGACCCAATTCGGTATTTCATCTGGACCAGCCGCTTTCGAGGATGATATTGAAGATAATTTATAATAAATGTCTTCTTCCCTAATAATGTACTCGGTTGGAATTGTAGTACAATCGCTTTGTAATTGGCTATCGGGGAAAGGGATAGGACTAAGGGGAGGAATATCTCGAGTAACGGATACGAAAGCCTCGTTAATTTTTTCAGCAAGTTGCTTTCCAGAGACGACTTGCTCTCCTAGGACAATACTTGAAAAAGATTTCTTCTTAGGGTAGCCAGCTATTTGTTTTACGGTGTCCCACCATTTCTTAGGATCAGGGTTACGTTTCAATTGTTTCAATTTATGTTCTAAGAATGCAGATTTAAGGTACTTACTTTCTCGATTGGCACGATTACGTAGTCGCCGGTACAATTTGTCATTTTTCTGAAAAAATGCCTTCTGTCTGTTTTTAATAAGTTCCTTGTATGAAGGTGTTATCCAAGGCTTATCTCGGTCGTGCATTTTAACTACTTTACATGGAAGGAAGTGGTCTAAGCCGGTATGAATAACATCCTGAAAAATTTCCAGTTTTTGTTCGCACGGTGCAGTACGATACAGGTTAGTCCAATTATAGTTCGTTAGCCATCTTCCAAATGCAACTTTGGCACCTCTGTTACCGGGTCTAATGTTTATTTTCTTGCATCCGTTCAATGATTTACATTTTTTTAAAATGCATAAAACGGAATTATGGTCGCTGAATCCGATGGGTGCGATCACCTTAGGAGGGTCACATGTGTCTGACATATTAGTAAGAATAAGATCAAGGACAGCATCTTTCCTGGTTGGTTGTTTTACGATTTGTTTCAAAGTAAAATGTCTTAATAAAGATGAGACAGGACATCTGTTAAAATCTCCGAGTAAAAATATACCTGCATTTGGGTACTTACTGAGAGCGAGGTCAAGTGTTGAGCTGAGGTAATCTATAAACGCGGCGTTGTCGCTGGATGGAGGTTTATAGGCCACACAGACGATCAAACACGAGAAGCCTCGATTAAGTTTATAAGGTCGTACATAGATCCATAAGGTTTCAAAATTGATGTCATTAAATTCTGTTAGAATTTTGAACGGAATGTCTGATTTAATAAAAGCACAAACTCCACCGCCAAGTTTATCAATTCGATCACATCTTGCTATCGAATACCCGCGAATACAAACTGCTGCATCGTCGATTTTCTCATTTAACCATGTTTCGGTTATGAAGGCCATCTCACATCATATTGGTCAAGTATAATTTTTAATTCATCCACCTTTGGTAAAAGTGATCTTGTATTTGAGAGAAGGAATGTCAGTAAATTACTTTGGGCGCACTTTGGGCTTTGATATAGAGACGTGCTTTGATATAGGGATGGATTCTTGATTGGAATTTCAATTAGATTACGCGTTCCGCTACGGTTTCGTTTGCTAGTATTAGGAATATGTTCATTATAACACGAAGCGCGCATGGTAAGATGTAATTCTTACTGGTATAGTGTTTCGTTCTGGTGTGATTATAGTGTTGTTACTAGCTGCGAGAGGGATCTCCAAGTTTATTGCAATGTGCGACGGACAAACTCCAGGTAATTCAACCAGTCTGCCTGCTGGCTGAATCGCGACCGAAAAAACGTATGCCGGTTCATCTTTCCTGTTTTATTCCTTTGAGTCTGGCGTGAGCGAGGCGCATGTGTCGAGTAATTAACAAGTAGGGGCAACCGTCCTATCCAATCAAGGGGTTCGGCCCCACTTCGAGATGTATGCATGGGGTTACTAACTGTCGCGTTAAGCGTTTCAACCAGAGGTAGGCGGGCCAACCATTTCAAAGATCCAGTCCCACTTGGGGCCGGCTGACTTTCGCCAGTATTAGCACAACTAAGGTTTGAAATATGTTGTACATTCTGTTTATTTCTTGGTTTTGGCTTCACACAACTGACATTTGATTGTGGGCGAAAAACAGCTTGGGAATGTTGATGGGAATTACTTTGTTTTACAGGACTGACTAAGTTGTAATGATGAGCGTAATACTGCTTTGATTCATGTTTAGACAATGATAGCGCAGGCATACCGCAGGCATATGTGAACCAAGCTATAGCCGCAGACAAGGTAGAGAAAATCGCAAACAAAAATCGTCCGTGCATGTGAACGATACGCTAAATGTACACCAGTTTGACTGACAAGAGACAAAGCCCATCGCAATATGTAATTAAACTTCCAAGATATTCCTTTGACTTTGTTTTCAATAATAGAAGGATTAATGCAGTAATTAAAAGGATTAAAATGACTGTGTTGTAGTCAGAATTCGTTTTCACTCATGCATTCCAAGATAAAAAAACATGTTATGATAAACTTTAAAAGCGTTGTCCACATTATTTTCACAAAACTGTCGGGACATAATCCGCTTTCGAAGGGATACTCTTTCGGGCGGACAATATCCGCTGCGACACCGGCTAGCCAAGACAGATATTCATACGCAGACTTTCTCTTCTTGGCAAGCCAGGTTTAGGCATGGAGGATCACATAAACACTCAGAGTTTAGGGACCGGTCATAAAGTAAAAGGGGGGGGGGTGGGTGGGCTGGGAAAAATAGGGGGTGGGTCACTATTTTTGAGCACGGTTGAAGGGGTGGGTCATCGAAAGTTATGCGTAATCATAGGGGTGGGCCATGTAAAAATATGCACAAGATTGGGCCCAATCATTTTTTTGTGTTAAAAATTTCCGCGCAAAGAACACGATATCGGTTTTTTAGGCTAAGTACCGACATTTGGTATGAAAATTTAAGATCGACTCCTTGGAAAGCAATTGCAACGTACTCGTCCGGAAAATTTTTTTACCTAAAAAAGTTGTCGACGGGGGTGGGGGGGAGGTTCTTGTCCGGAAAAAATTGGAAAAGGGGTGGGTCATAATTTTTCAGCACCAATTTAAGGGTCGACTACAAATTTTCGTGCAGCTATTAAGGGGTGGGCTACCAAAAGTGCAGACACCAAATATATGATTTTCCCAGCCCACCACCCCTTTTACTTTATGACCGGTCCCTTATATTACGACTTATGAGCTCTGAGACATCGTAAGTGGGAGCTTTCTGAAGGGTTGTCATCCGACTGCTTGCCTACGGTTGATACATGTGGGAAAACTAGTATGGTGGATCAGTGGCGAGGAAGGGGTAAACCCCCCCCCCCCGCCAATAATTTCTGAAAGCCTTTGAATGGTAAACTGTATAACTGTGTAACCATAAAAGCATTGGTAGGCAAGGCAAAAAGGTTTAAAGATTAAATAACTAAGATATTCAGCTATAAAAATGGTCATATGTCAGCAATCTAACACCCCTCCCCGGCCAATATTTTGTGAAGTGTTTGCTACTGAGTGGAACTTTGCTTTGGCTGACAAGCTAGGGACTGCCATGGAGTGAACATGTATACTAGTCATATTCTCGGTCATGATTTCTCACCTTTGTTGCAACTTTTGAATGACTTGCATGAGAAATTGAATCTGAAAGAAATGCCTGTAACTTTGTAAACATAGCAGATACATCTAACGACTTGGCTAGAAGTTTATGAAAATTTTCCAGTTTGTTAATAAACGAACTCCATTCGTGTTCAATCTGACTGTAAGGCTCCAAGCAGGAAGATACAATAGTAGTGCAATACTCTGGGCAAGGTTTGACATCACTGAAACCATCACACAACGAACAATAACTCATTTTTACCAAGGCAGAAGTACACTCATTAGAAAGCTGGACATTATCAATAACATCCAAAACATGACCAATTGTTTGTAAACTACGTAAGACTTGTTGTACAGGTTGTAACTTCTTGATTAAAAAAGCTGTCAGAGTTTGCGGGACATCTTTAAAAGGCATAATCAAATTCACATTATTTTTCAAACATTCAGCAAATTCTCCAGGAAGTGTTTGTCCAACGACTGAGTATTGGTAAACAATTGGATAAAAATTTCTGAAAAACGTTGTGGTGGAATTTTGCACATGTAGATCTTTATTGGTTACCGATGTCCGCAGGTCATCAAATAGCGTACGAATAAGAGGTTTGGTGCGTTGAGCTATACCTCTCTTTGCTTGAGACTCTAACGATTCTATAGCACTTTTGGATGTTTTTTCAAGGCCACTTTGGAATAAACCTAAAAAAGACGAATATGAATTTTTACATTTTTTCTGTGTTGGTGTAATGTACTCAGGTGAATATGATGTTTGTGATGTTACTCTGAGTGTATATTCACACCGGACAAGCTTGACTGAATATGCCTGGCCACGGTGGGAATCGAACCTACGACCTTTGGAATACTAGCCCAATGCTCTGCCAACTGAGCTAAGCGGTCAGGTCGGTTCGAGTATGTGATATTTCGGAACTGAGTCTAGTTCCTTCGATATCAATGCAATCTAGTGATATGATATTTGGAAGGAACTATGGAAGGAACTGAGTCTAGTTCCTTCGATATCAATGCAATCTAGTGATATGATAGTACAGTCGAACCTCTATTAAGCGGCCCTCCATTAAGCGGCCACCCTCTATTAAACGGCCACATATGGAAGTCCCCAAGTTTTTGTAATACAAATACTATAAACTATCCCTCTGTTAAACGGCCACCTCTATTAAGCGGCCGCGGCCACCGAAAGAGCGGTTCCAAATGATGTTTTATGTCAATTTTTACCTCTATTAAGCGGCCAGCCTGCAGGATTTTTAGGTTTAGATATAGGTAATGAGAACCATATTGGTGTCCTAGTAATAAATTTATGGCACAATAGTCCCTAAGTGCTTGTTCAAAAGGTTTAGTGTGAAATATGATAGTGTGATGGCTTCGTGTTGTTGGCACAATGTATGCCTGTGAAAAAATATTATAGTAGATGAAACTGAGAATTAAAGTTAAATTTGACTACGCCCAGGGTCTATTAGTTGCGTACCTCTATTTAGCGGCCACCTTTATTAAGCGGCCACAAAGCCGATCTTCGGGGGTGGCCGTTTAATAGAGGTTCGACTGTATGTGATATTTCGGAACTGAGTCTAGTTCCTTCGATATCAATGCAATCTAGTGATATGTTAGTGATATGACATTTAGGAAAAATGCCCGGCTCATATGAACAGATAGACTGCGGGCGGGCCCTCCTTTCCGCGGGTTTATGACTGCTCGCGGTCTAATGAACAGACCCTTTACTTTTACCGACAGAATGGGTGTGGTTTTGACGTGCTGGGGCGTGGTCAATGCTGTGTCATCAAATTTGTTACCAAAATAGGTAATTGATGCGAAATGAGCATGCAGATTTTTCCCGCCCCCAAAGAAACCCCCTCCTTCACTACGCCTGCACGGGCGGCAGAACCCAAGGTAGGCAAATGCGGTTCGCAAGACGAGTTGTACACTTGTACAGATCGTCAGACTTGGTTAATGGCCTGTAAAAAGATTTACGTACGGTCTGCAACAATTTTACGGTCCGCGCATGAACCCGCGCAGTAAATGCTAATCAAACAATCTCAATTTGTTCTTCTCCCGCCCTTGTCTACAACGGCTGTTCATAGTTTTTTGCCGTTGTAGCTAGAACTGTAAAATTATAAATTCCCGTGCTTTAAGATGTGCGCATATGTCATTATAGGTAAATCCCGATTACATATTCTTTAACAACACATTTCATTAAGCTTACACTGCTCATAACCAATCAGAATTTAAATTAGGTAGTGATACTATTGAGGCAATATTGTACTATTGCGTTTTGATGAGTAAATCTCCAAAAGATATAAAGAAGGGTATATTTGGAGCCTGAAGCACTCTATCTTTATAAAAAAATGTACCTTTCAGGCCCTTTTATAGCTGCGACTATCAGGGGCGGATTTAGACCGTTGCAACTGTAGCATATGCTACGGTCAGATTTTCCATAGGCCAGTTCTAACAAATCAATCTAAAATATAATTTAGCAATATTTTGTTTACTTTCCTTGTTTATATTTCAAGGTTTTATTTTATTTAGTTTTATATGTTCTAAAACATTTTATTTTGATAAATTGATGACATTTATAATACGTAACGTTAATTGTTTTAAGAATTCCCGCCCGAAAATACGGTTGTAATTGCCCGTTTGCGGGTCATTACGCAATGGACTATAGCTTAGAAAATATCATCCTTCAGAAATACACCGTAGCGTGTTTCATTAACTATGCCATATATGATCAATTTTCGCTACGGTCAGATTCATTAAGGTCGAATCTGACCGTAGCGAAAATTGGCATATACGGCATTCTGATTGGTTTGCTACGGTCAAACGTAGCAAACCAATCGGAATGGGGCAAATGCTATAGTTTGCTACGGTGGCATGAAATTGGCTACTGCTCCAGAACGATGGAATATCTGATATTTGTGTTTGGCTCATCAACAACATGCTATTGGGAACCCACAGTACGGTTGTGCGCATTTCGAAATGAAAGCCGTCGTAAAGCTAAAGGATTTATATGCGTCGAGGTAGAAATAAAATCAGATAGTAAAACGAATCATTTCCAGTCAGGTAAGCCTTATGAATGATAAGAGATGCACATTATATTTTAATTTGAGTTTTTACTGTATAGTATGTTCGCTATTAACTTCGCTTTATTAAAGTGTTTGTGCGCGTATGTACAGTATACCTGCATGTATTGGAATTAATACGCGAATTATGATACGCGCGTATATATATCGTGTTTTATAGCGCGCTAATATTTGTTTGTAATGCGTATATATTCGTAAGATACGCGTATTCATATCATACGCGCGTTCATATGATATGCGTATTCGTATGATACACGCGTTCGTAGATGATACGCGCATTTCGGTATTCAATTGATAATGATATGCGTATGATACGAGTATCATACCGATATCGTATGTTAAAATATACGCGAGCAGTAGTTTACATTTTGAGATCATTTCGGCTTATTTTTGCTTGAGAAATGAATACAATGAGGACAAATTTAATGGTCACATGCAGTGCTCAGAACGCAGGAAATGGCATTTCCGGGCTTCAAATTTCAAAAATTTTCAAAAAAGGGACCCCCCTAGCTATGCGAGGTCTTGGAAAATGCTACGGTCAGATTTTTGGCTGGATCCGCCCCTGAAGCACGTTTGAGAATAATCCGTTGATGGGTTTCATTCTGTTACATCCGATGTCTCACAAGATAGCGCACTCGGTCATACCGTACTTGGTCGAAAATTACAGTACAACAGGATTCCGCAGTGCAAAAACTAATATAAAGTGTTTGGTCATAGTCTACTATCAAGATATGATGGTCTGGAAACTAAACAGAAGTGTTTATATGTTTTTATATATGTTTTTGTCTGAGTTTATGTTAATATGCGCACGGTCACGATGATCAGCTCAATCATTGCATTTTCGTATAATTAAGTGATCGTCCAATAGGGATAGCTGAGATGAAACTTGCAGCCACGATGAATAATATTTAATGAAGTTGAGACAAAGGATTTTACAGACTATGGTTTGGTGAAGTCAAACCAGCAGCATTCTTCTTTTCATGTGCAGCTGAAGCAAAGTTCTAATTAGACAAGTACATATTGGAGAAATCCATCCCTGCTGACAGAGATGGAAGACACATGCGCCAACAATTGTGTCACCAAATCGCCAACTCCTCGCCCATACGTGGTCATGTTTTCATAAAGTCTCACATTATGTTTCTTTTTATCTTAGTAAAGGGGTTGACACGATCAACAGTAGTGTGCCTGTAGAGGTTAAAGTTATTCCTGTTGTTGCAGTTTTCCCGTTATCTGTTGCTGCTACTGAAGGTAATGCATTGATATATCTCTTAGGATCTATAAGCAAGATTGCAAGGGTGCGTACCATAGATATCTTATATACACTAGATAGCGCATTTCTTTTAGTAAAATTGAAGCCAAGAATATTCCAGCGGTTACCCCTATTTGAATAGATGCCGACCATGTTGGAGTACGTTTCCCACTCGCCCATAAACGGTTAAAAAACAACAATAACTTTCATCATTTGGATAGTTTGAAAACGTATTTGGAATAGGTTTAACTTAATGTTTAAGTTCCCTTTTTAAGAAATAGAAAACATAGGAGTCTTCCCATTTCATGGGAATATCCTGAGTCTGCGATCACGGCTTCCATTTTTGAATAATTAGATGCAGTATCTAGTGTATATAAGATATCTATGGTGCGTACGCACAGTCGAGGTGTGGTAATGGAGGATAGAATGAAACAATGGTAACCAGACATTTAAATTTTACAGCGTGTATTCAAAAATGTTCGCTAAACTGCAAATTCCGCAAAATTTGTGAAAACTTAATGCAAGTATGGGTAGCTTGGGGTCTGCTGTTATCTTTACCACTAAAGTATTTTAAAAAATAAGATTTGGAAGCTTTTATTGAACACCACTGTAAAAATGGATTGCGCACAAAAATGAAAGTCTTAAAATGCAACTTGATTTCGGAGGGTGCAAATCTATAAGGTGTTTTATGATGTATCAAAGTACTATGGACAATTTGATGTACGCAACGTCCTACACTCGACCTCTGAAACGTCGACTTTTTTTTCCTTATTAACTGAATGATTTACATATCTTTGCAAAAGTTCAAAATTATGGCAAGAAAGTCCCGGTAGAAGTTGTGCGTTGACTTATTTTTTTAATTCATAAAATAGTCCCATAAATTTAAATTGCGTTTTAAGCCTTCTATTTTTGTGCACGCATGCCATTTTTAATGGGTTTTTTTAAAAACAACCGTGCTGGACTAAAAAATTCACTTTTCAAAGTAATTTTGGCGTTAAAGATACTAGAAGACCCCAAACTATACCCATTCTTGCATAAAGTTTTCACAAATGTTGCGGAATTTTCAGTTTTTCTACAAATCCTGCACTCCACCCTGTCTTCGGGATACCCTTTCTTATTGGTTAATTCGTCCAAAAACTTTGACTACCTAATTTCTTACATTTTTTCCCAATTATTTTCCATTCAGGTAATACAATAACCTTAACTTGTGAGGTTTCTGTTGGCAATGAGGGATTTATCGAAATTTTGTGGTACAACTCCAAACAGGCTGGTGTTGTTAGTCAAACTCGACAACTAAGTTTGTCTAATATTGAACTGTCTGATGGTGATCAGAGTTACAAGGCAGAATATTGGTGTTTGGCTAAGAACTCGGACGGTACCGGACGAAGTCAGAACGTTCCAGTGTATATATTATCATCAGGTAAGACTGTCTTGCTATGCTTTTTGTTATGTTTACCTATATTTATGAAATATTGGTATTGGTTGGTTTTAACAAGCATCATATAATAACTACAGTGAAACACGTAGTTTGATTGGTCAATAGCCGTACGGTACAGGTTTAGACTAGCCTGCAAAAGGAATTAAAATGCCTTCGCGGGATTTTCGCGGGATTCTAAAAACGTCATTGTTTCAGTCACTGTAGTTATTTTACGCTTTCCGAAAGTCTCGCGATATCCCTCGTGTATGGATCACGCAATCCTGCACGAAAAACTATTCGGTACTCTATTATTACGGGACAGGAGATGTTGGTCAACTTGAGAAATGTTGACATCTTATAGGAGCAAATTCGACTGCGTCTTCCAATTCTATTTATTTGCCACCAAATACAAGACCGCTACATATCATGAAATAATTAAGAATATTTAACCACTCCGATAACTGCCGGATGACATCTGCTGCACGATAGTATGTACTTCGTAAAACCCACCTTCATCATTCATTGACTGGCGTCTTTTTATTTATTGTTCTTTTTAGATTTTAATGAGTTTTGCTTCGAAGATTATGACAGTGGTTATACTTGGGAAGAGACACCAGTTGGCACCTCCGTGATTAAACATTGTCCTAGTGGAACAATAGGTACGGTTTGTTACTCTTTGTGTTTGGCTCTTCTGATTAACTACAATAAAGTAACTGTAATTGTGTTAGATAGCTCTGTCAGTTAAAGAAATTTTACCAAGTTCCAGCAAGGAATACTACTTATTGGACTAGTATTACTATTGGAGGAAACTTGAACTTAAAACTAACTTAAACTGCATGAGTGTTCTTCCAGGAGGAAACTGGAGTACTGTTTCGTAACGTTTGGCTAAGACTCCTCTTGTGAATAAGGTGAAATCATATGAGAAAACTGAATATTGCAGAAACATAGCCTTGATCACAGGGAGGACTGGACTAACACTCACAGAGAGGACACATGAACTACCCTCTGATAAAAAATTCGTTTACAGGAACTGTGACGCGACTCTGTAACAGTAATGATGGTCAGTCTGTCTGGGGAGATTTGAGTTTCTCCAACTGTAGAAGCTCTGTTGTTATCGAACTTGTTGATAAGGTGATTGTCAAACTTGTCACTCTAATCCATCTAACTGTACGTTCCTTCAATTGAAATTGTATAAACTAATCTATCTTGGTTAATTTGTGAATGCACTACCTGAAGAAGATTAAAAACAACTTAATCTTTTTACAGATCTTTAGATTGGACGAAGGGTTTGAATCGGGGAATATCAGTGAGATCTTGCGCGAAACTGAAAAAGTTTCAGAAGACGATGAACTTTATGAAAAAGATATTGAAGACATTGTGTACGTTTTGGAAAAGACAGAGCAGAAAACGAAAACCCAAACTGATCGTCAAAGTTTTATTCGTTCATCAAGTAATATAGTGAGTCAGAAGAAAAGGAATGTATGGAAAAATATACCGGTAAGATACAAACGAAAAGCAGCTTGTCATAGTAATTTGGAATACCTAGTTGTGTTTTGAAATATTAATGAGTTTTGGAAATACATATTGACAACTATGATGAAGTGACTCAACCATAACTGTTTTTGTTTTCCAGTCTAGAAATAATTTAGTGAAGCAGATTATAAGTGGCACAGATTTAAATGCACGGAACTACATTTCAGAAAGTGCGGAAATAGGAAAAGTCGTCTCATATAGTACACCCAACATAGCCGTTCATGGAATACGTCTACCAACAGCAAAACCCACCAACCCAGGAGATGTCAGCTTGATGGACACAGGAGGACAGGGTGTGATTATCTCTGATGTTGTAACCAATGAATTAAAGCAAGCAACCGTAGTGCAGTACAGTTCAATCAAGGATATTTTTTCTGAAGAAGAGTTGAAAGAATCCGTGGATAATACTATTGGATCGACGGAATCGTTGACAATCAGAAGTACTATTGTATCTTTCACAATCGAACCACCGCTTAAGAATAAGTCAGTGTCTAAACCTTTCAAGATTGTACTTCAGAATAATCAGGTATGGAATACATGTGGTTTGCTGGACGGTTAGATGAGAAAATTAATGCTTTAGGCTAACTTTGGTTTGACTGCGTCCCTCTACTGGTATAACTAAAAATTAAGGAAGGGATATCCCTTATAGGTCATGTGTTACTGCAGGGCAAACCGAAAATAAACAAACTATACTGGATGGCTCTATCAGTTCGAATAGTTTGTTGGTCCAGTGTTTCTTCTGGGGGATACCGGAGTACCCAGAGAAAATCTGATAGTGATAGAGTCAAACCAGAAGTACTCTTCTTACATGCAGCTGCGATGAATTTATAATCAGACAACTCGAAATCAAACCCTGGGCACAAAAGGTAAGGGGTACACGTAATAACTATTCACCGTGTCGTCGAAATACTATATTACTCCCATACCTGAGGTAAATATATTGATGCACTTATACGTATTTTCCTTAGACTGGTTATGAAGACTCAAGACGAACGTGTGTGTTCATTGAACCTGAAATAAACAGCAGTATATGGAGCAGTAAAGGATGTACATTGAATGAAGCTGAATCAAGTAAGAAAAATGTTGTCTGTGATTGTGATCATAACACTGCTTTTGCTGTCATGATGGATGTTGCGGATGTGCAGGTAAGATTTTAATTATAAGTCATTTCAGTTTACTGTAAGTGGAACATTACACCGGTAGGAGATCAGCAGGTTGACCGTTACCGCTGAGTCGATTATGCTACTGTAGAGGGTTTATGTTAAAGAGAACTTCTTTTGTTTTGTAAAAATATAGTCTTTTTTAGAAAAGGAGAAATAATATTTCCACCTTTTAGCCTAATGCGAAATTTGTTCGGAAATTGCATTCATTTGTTTGAACTACCGGGATAGCAAGGGACATTTGTAGCTATAAGTGGATGCCCATGTAAACCCGTGGCCCAGCTAGCCAGGGTGAATCGTGTCACGAAAAATACATTTCGAATAAACTTTGTACTGTTATTGGAATCAAGCTGAACTAAGTGGACTTTGAACGTCATTTTGGAAACTTATCAAAGCCGTGATAGGAGCTTTAACTATGATAATCTATCCATCTATGTAATAAAAAAATCTATCGACCATGGTACAACCTCTTGTTAATATTATAAATCTCTCTTTATCCAAAGGGGTCTTTCCAAGTAAACGAAAGATCTCTAAAATTATACCATTTTTTAAAACTGGAAATCAAAATTTCTTTACAAACTATAGACCTATATCACTCCTGACAAACTTTTCAAAGTTATTTGAAAAAGTTATGCAAATCAGGTTAACATTATTCATTGAGCAATGTAAAATCTTGTATAGATTTCAGTTTGATTTTCGCAGTAACCATTCTATTATGGATTCACTTGTTTCTCTAATACTAATAACCATGCCACGGCCATTGATCGGAACCAGATAGCTGCTGGAGTGTTTATTGATCTTTTAAAGGCTTTTGATACTTTAGATCATGGAATATTGTTTACTAAATTACAACATTATGTTATAAGAGGCGTTGCACTTCAATGGATCAAGAGCTATTTCTGCAATCGTGAACAATTTGTTCAATATAATGAAACCTGTTCCTCCATGGAAAAATTAAAATGTGGAGTTCCGCAAGGTTCTATTTTAGGCCCATTATTTTTTATTTTATATTTCAATGATCTACCGAATGGATTAGAACTGTCAAAATCTTATCTTTTTGCTGATGACACTAGTATATATTATTCAAATTCGGATATCAAGCAGCTTGAATTTGTTTTGAACAGTGAACTTCGAAAGCTGGATATCTGGATGAAGTCAAATAAATTGTCTGTGAACATCAGTAAAACAAATTACATCATTTTTCGGCCGAGACAAAAAAAAATAAATTTAAATCTAGTTATTGAATATTACAATCAAATGATCACCCAAAAACAATATTTTTAGGAAAACACACAAAATTTTTAGGAGTATATATAGACGAACATTTTGGGATCAGTGAGATGACCACCCATACACCATGTGCCCGTGATATTTGATAAACTTTAGACTTCGCTAGCGAATGACGAGACAGACGGCTCCAGGTTCGCAGCTCCAGGTTCGCGAACCTGGAGCCAGCTCCAGGTTCGATTTCAAGCTGGAGCTAGAACGACTAGTTTGTAAATAAACTGCTTTGGCCGCTTAACCACTATTGGAAATCCAATTTTTTTGAAAGACCATTTTTACTTGTCATATTCCTTAGTACGTGAGGGAAAATGAAGACATTATTCCGTTCCGTTCGTCCATGGTAGCTTGTGAAAGATCACTGTTTTTTCTGAGAAAGGGGCTGGTCAGCGGTGGGATAGATCGCAAAGCTCGTTTAAAACCTTATTTTTTTACCTTTATAACGAAAAACGTAAAGTTTTGATTGATGACCATTCTAGAGTATGTATTCAAAAGTAATTTCAAGCGGCTAACTTATTTCCACATCGCGAAACCGCGATAAATAACTCGCGCACAATTGAACTGTCTAATTTCACGCACCGCCCGGTTGTGTTAATTTTATCCTTCCGTGAATATAACAACTTTGGTATGCGTAAATTTACGCCCTAGAGGAATAAGATATTGATATGTTAATGACATAATATCATTTGTTGCGCTTTTCTGAAGAACTAACGATATAAACATATTTAATTTCCGAAACACACAACGCAAACAAGATCGCTAAAGATGGTGTTATTATGCGGCTCAAGTCGCCGAAAGGCCATAACATGTCAAATACGTCTAGCATCAGCTAAATTGCTTCGCAAATTTCTTGCTAATTTTGCCATGCAACGATTTTTTAAAAGATAACCCTTCTAGACTAATATTCATACTATCATATTTTACAGCATTTGAGGATTTAGGATATATATCCATCATGAGCAACTCATGAGAACACTAGCATCGTTACGGACATAAGAAATCAACTTTCAAGAGATATGAAATATTCACGTAAACAATAATGCAAGCCCTCTGGCACGTGCCGGACATTTGATAATCTCAGGGGAAATTAAAACCGTATTAACTATAATGTCGACATGTAAATGCATGCTATCTAATGGGGACAGGGAAGGAGTTTAATTAAAAGCCACCAGTATCTTAATAAAAAAGACATAGCTGTATTTGAAAAGATATTGAAACATGATTCAATAAAGCCTGAAAAACATTCCATGCACCTTCTTTATTCCCTGGTATTTCTTCTCAGCTGCCCAAAACGTCCAAAACGGAGAGGTCGTGCAGTTGCATAAATTGTTTCGTTTTGTTCATTTCTGTATCCGTCCGAAAATGAAAATACACTCATCACAATACACCAGGAAAATACTTACGGTCCAACGCGCCACAAGACAAAGCTCTATAATGACATGTATTTACGTTGGCATGTTTAAAATTAGATAAAAAAAACGCTATAAAATATCAAAAGTATATAAAAAGGCATTATATATGCCTTCTAAAGAAATTTATAAGCCTTCATAACAATGAATTTAAAATTGTGCTAGCTAGTATCATTTTATTAATAAATTAAATTAAATCAAATATACAATACTGCACAAAATGTATACAGTTTGTGTACAGTATGTAGTTTATGCAAAGGGTTTATGCAATATTTATTAACTTATACGGGCAAAACCAATGTTTTTTGCTCGTGTATTAAAAAGATATAGCGCATGTAAACCAAGTTACGTAACTATGATGTGCGCCCACATTCTCAAGGAGGGGTGTGTTTTAAGCCTTCCTTCATAATCAGCGCAACTTTAATACGCATGCTTATAAAACTATTTTATCTTTGTGAAAAAGCGACGTTTTCTGCTTATGTATTGAAAAAATACAAGGCAATTGCCAACTATTACACTCCTTCCTTGGCATTATAGTTAATACGGTTTTCACCTGAGATTATCAAATGTCCGGCACGTGCCAGAGGACTTGCATTATTGTTTACGTTTAATATTTCATATCTCTTGAAAGTTGATTTCTTATGTCCGTAACGATGCTAGTGTTCTCATGCATGAGTTGCTCATGGTGGATATATACCCTAAAGCCTCAAATGCTGTAAAATATGATAGTATGAATATTAGTCTAGAAGGGCCATCTTTTAAAAAAATCGTTGCAGGGCGAAATTAGCAAGAAATTTGCGAAGCAATTTAGACGATACTAGACGTATTTGACATGTTATGGCCTTTCGGCGACTTGAGCCGCATAATAACACCATCTTTAGCGATTTTGTTTGCGTTGTGTGTTTCGGAAATTAAATATGTTTATATCGTTAGTTCTTCAGAAAAGCGCAACAAATGATATTATGTCATTAACATATCAATATCTTACTCCTCTAGAGCGTAAATTTACGCATACCAAAGTTGTTGTATTCACGGAAGGATAGAATTATCACAACCGGGCGGTGCGTGAAATTAGACAGTTCAACTTTGCGCGAGTTATTTATCGCGAATTCTCGATGTGGATATAAGTTAACCGCTTGAAATTACTTTTGAATACATACTCTAGAATGGTCATCAATCAAAATTTCAAGTTTTTCGTTATAAAGGTAAAAAGATAATGTTTTAAACGAGCTTTGCGATTTATCTCACAGCTGACCAGCCCCTTTCTCAGAAAAAACAGTGATCTTTCACAAGCTACCATGGACGAACGGAACGGAAGTAGCAGTTTATTTACAAACTAGTCGTTCCAGCTCCAGCTTGAAATCGAACCTGGAGCTGGCTCCAGGTTCGCGAACCTGGAGCCGTCTGTCTCGTCATTCGCTGGTGCGTTCCTTTCCCCGGGTGTAAATAGCCGGACGGTGCTCCGCGTCGTTGACTCGGGAACAAACTCACACAGCGACATGGCAAACTTTGTTTGGGGACCGGAATAGTATAAATTTTAGAACGGTATCGAATCATCATCCTATCTCAAACTGTACACAATATTTTATAAGAATTTTCCTTACTTTTTCAGCTAACAGAGTCTGAACGTAAAATATTAGAGACGATTTCTACCATTGGATGTTCAATATCGTTGGTCGGCATCACCTTGACCGTTCTTCTGCATGTTTGTTTCTGGAAACATTTCAAGTCACCTCGTGTCAAAGTTTTGCTCAGTTTGTGTGTTGCCATTGGATTCACTGATATCTTTGCTATACTTGAGGGTGTTGCCAGAGACAGTTCGGTAAGCTTCCTTGGCAAAAACTTTTTACTATGAGATATTGATAGATTATAGTGCAGGGTGCGATAATTTGCGTACTTACGTACGTACTTACGAAGGTACGCCAATATTACGGTCTGGTACTTCTGTCTTTCCAGTCACGTACCATGTAGGTTTGCGGCACTCTTGTTATCTGCGCACTTAACTTTTTGCTTTCGACCTTTCCAAGTTCAAGATATTCAAAACCATAATTTAGTCGGAATATGTGCAAGTCTGGCATGACTTTGCATTAAACATGATTGGACTGATATGATGAGATAGGACTGAGGAATGTTTAACTACAACGGCCGGGGAACGAAGTGTTTCTCAATAATGAAACATATATTCTATCAAGTTTATGGCAGGGAAACGGTGGGAAACGCGCCTTTCGTGTTCGCCTGTCGAGTCGAAGCCTTCTCAACCTTTTAATTCTGATGTGTGGAGACATAGAGTCTTGCCCTGGGCCACAAGCAGATGAGGTATGTATGTAAAACTTATTTAAATTAATGACGCTAGCCTTGTCAACAGCAATAGTTGATTTCCACAAGGGGCGTCACTAGCACAAGAAAAAGATATTTACAAAGAAGGGAAAAAAATGTATAGCTATTTACAAAAGATTTATAAAGGAGATTGAATTATATTGGTGTGACCCGGTTGAATATTAAGATCTATAATTGTGATTCTATCTAACAATATAATTGTTTTACAATATTTTTAAAAGAGTAAATTGATCGCGCTTCCTTAGCTTCGCGCGGAAGGCCATTCCAAAATTTAGCACCACTGTACTTAAAGCTTTTTTTTAGAAACTCGCGTGTCGGTTTCGGAAGGGCCAGATCAGTGTGAGAATTTCTGAGGTCATAATCAGTTTGTTGAGAATTCCTCTTTATGAATAGCTCTTTCAAATTTGGCGCAGAAAAATGTTCAGAATTTTATATAATAATGCCGTCTTACTCATACATCGTCTGGAATCTAAATTTTCCCATTCAAGAGCCCGAAGAACGTCAACAGACCTGATCTCATAACCAGCACCAGCTATTATTCTATCTGCCCGATTTTGAAACTTTTGTAACTTATCTTTCAGTGTTTTGTTACAAAATATCCCAAAGTGGGGAGCAGTAATCAAAATAGAGTTGTATCAATGCACTATAAATTGATTGCAACATGTTTGCAGGAATGTATGGCTTGATGCGTTTTAACGTTCCTACACCTGCCCCAACTATTTTGCAAATCGTTTCAATGCACTGCAAAAAATCCATTTTTCGCTTGAGTTATTTTAACACATAAATTTGCGTGGAATGCAATGTTTACTCAGTTTTAAGAGTATTTTTACTCGAATATGCTGAGTATAACTTCAAACTCAAACACCTGAGTAAACTATTTTGAGTAAACCACTATCGTTTACGCAGTTATAATCGGTAAAATTACTCATTTGAGTAAGTTGCTTCATATTTACTCGTTATTCTCGAGTAGAATCGATGTTTTACTCTAACATTGAGTTAATATGCTTTCCAGACTGATCGATTTACTCAAAGCTGAGTAAAGATGCGAATCTACTCAATATGAGTAGAATGTACTGGTCACTCATGGTTCGAGTATTTTTACACCGGTAAATGTTTGAGTAAGAAATATCGAGTAAACACCACCAGCTACACAAATGTGATGAGTAAATTTACTCAAAGGGTAAATTTACTCAAAGACCGTACCAAGCAGTTTCCTCAGTACTCAAAACTTGTGAGTAAATTGACTACAATACTCTTCAGGTGAGTCAACTCAGCATCGGACAAACCGGCTTTACTCACAAATAGCAGGACAAATACCACCGATCAAACATCGGCAAGAAATTGCTCGGTGAATAAATATGATAGACGAAAGTCGGCAATATAAGTCATGACTGCCGATCATCATGATCGGAAACTTTGGGAACGTTATTTCAAGTCCTGATTCCTGAACAGAGTAAACGTCATCTATATTCATCACACGATAACAACGCTGAACCATAGTTAATCAATAGAAAAACACGAAGTCATGCACAGTATATATTTCAGTGTTGTCTATTCTGTGATGTTATGCTGCGATTAAAAGACAAAACATACGCAGCGATAGTCTTGTCTTAATCCCCTGCTTTGTTTGCGTCTTGAAATGTGAAACGACAGTGACGTAAATCATATCTGACGACGCGGTAATTTCAAATTTCAGTGACTCGTGCCTGCTTTGGTAGACATATATTATTCGTCTGTACTGCGAGAAATTTCATGGCGAAAAGCATCAACTTCTTCTTCTTTTATATCAAAGATGGTAAATAGTGTAAGAGGCATGAAGACTTGGCTTACAGAGATGGGTTGGGGAGATTATTGTCTCTCATTTGAAGGTATATTTGCAGATTTATTTCTGTAGACGTTTGGACAAATAAACGGCAACTGAGTATGGTTTACCGCGCTTCATTCGCATTTGCTTCACTAGTTTAAACTTTGTCACGTCATGATTGTCTACTTTAGAATTTTCGAAGCTTCCAACAGGCGTTTATAACAGAAACGAACTAAAGACGAAAAGCGCATTTGGCATCACAAAAAGCGTTAAGATTGAGCGCTGTTAGCCGCTGTGGTATTGTGGCACAATGCGCGCCGCCCTCCATATGGACGTTTGCAGTTGTATGTTTGCCCAAATATGAGCTACATTGTTGATTATATTTTCTTTACTCACAACTCTACATGTTTACATATGCTTAAGACAAATATTTGTATGTCTGTAACTGTATTTATAAGAAGGGAAAACGGATTTAACTACAGAAAATTCAAACCATCGGCAAGGTGTAATACGATACGTTTGCATTGCCATTGCGCCTATTAAGCTCTGTGACAGCCTGTCTGTTACACAGTTTATATGCACATGTGTACTCTTTCTAAAGTCTAACGCCTGTAAAGTATGTTCTATAAAATGCTTTCATGTTTCATATACTGCTAGATAAACAAAATTGCTGACCACGGTGCCAGTGTAATTTATTTGTTAAATAATCTAAAAGTCTATATATTGTTTGCGTGATTGAATTTGGCCGGCCCGACGCGCCAGTCACTTCCTTCAATTTGA